AGCGCGGACCCCGGGGCACGCGCCACCGCCATTTTGTGTGCGGAGCGAGGGAGCGCGGTCGGAGCGGCGCAGCCGCCCGCGGTCCATTACTGTGCTCGGTGAAACGCCCGTGGAAGCCGGCCGCGGTGTCAGCAGGCATCCTTCCTCAGGTGAAACGCGTCAAAGTCCTCTGAGAAAACTTGTCCCACACTCTAAACTGCCTTTTCAGTTCTTGGTGCAAGATGCTGTGCTCGCTGCGCGGGACTGCAGCAGCACTTTTGTGGTCCCTGAAGCGGGAGCTGTGCTAAATGGCAAAAAGCACCTCTCCCTTTCCGTGTGTGTCGCCTGTCGTTAGCCCAGGTTTGTACAGCTGTGTTAATAAATCCAAATGGCGCTCCTCTCCCCGTTTTGCTTCCTCTCTGCTAACACGTTGCTCCTAGAATTACGTAGTGCTGCACTTGCTCTAGAAAGTGATGGTGAAATGACTCGTGTTGTTAGCAGCAAAACTGTTAGCAGCCGGGAAGAAAATTCATCTACACAAAGTAGATAAACAGACACTTCTTTATTCCAGGACTTTATTCCTGCGCAGGGGGACACGGGGGATAGCTCCGCCCAAGCGTGTCCACCCTAGCATCCAAATCCATAGGTATTTATACACTTATTTCGTTGAGTCATTGTTACATAAGTTCTTTTACGTAAAATTGCACATTTTGACCTTTAAAGTGATTGGTTTTACTAGCTATATTACCTTATCAGTATTCTTGTTCTATAACAATCATTGGTTATTCTGCTTAATTTTACTAATTAGAATCCTTGATATTCAAATCAAGATGGGAAGGGGCAAGGGGTTTTCCAAGCAGCATGACTAGTGTCCATGACGGTTTCCTTAACTTCTTAAAACAAAACATAGAAAAATGCAGTAGCTGGGTGATGAGGTGTCCATGGTTCTTTGGTTTAAAACAATGCATAGAAAGATTCAGTAATTTCCTAGTGAGGTCTCTATAGTTACTCATTAAACTTAACAATCCTAACTTATACATTTTACTTTTCAGTTTTCTATCTAACTTTTCTACTTGATTACATCTTGATTATTTTGTCAAAGTTTTGTAACAATATTGGGAGACTGCAGTTAGGTTATTACATTTATAGTACATATCTTGGCCCATTGACAACAAAAACGTGTGTTAGCCCATCAAGGTCATTGAGGTGGCAGGAAGAGCCAGTTACGGTGCAGGAAGATGTGCATGAGAGCCTACTGGCCTGCATGGATTTAGGGATTCCAGGTCACCACTAGCCACTGCTAAACCCTCTTCATGCTTGAGGGTGCTGTGCCAGTAGCTTTAATCCCAGTTCTGAGCATTGCCTACTGCGAGCAGCATGTACTTGATCAAGACAAAGCTTAGCTAAACAGTCACACTATTTAAATCAAATGGAAAAAAAGAAGTTTATGCCCATTTTTTTTTTTTGCTTTTTGTTGCCTTTGTGGTTTGGGCTTATGTTGCTGGCTTGGCTTGGTATGAATAAGGTTGAAAGGAATGAGTAACTATGGTCTCATCTGAAATAAAACTTTCAGGTACAAGGTTAACCTATGACTTAAACTGCGATGGTTTAATCTGTTAGAAAATGTTAGATTGACATTTATGTCCTGTCGCCGTTGTGTTTTTCATGTGATGGTACACTCCGAGTGCCGGATTAACATCTGAGGAACTGTTTCCGTAACACAAAATTTTACAGTGTTTTCAAAAGAAAGGTGTTTATCTGAATGTTTCGCAGACAGGGAAACTCAGGCAGAAAGGCATTAAATGACTTGACAAGGTCATCCAGAAAAATCAGTAATGAAACGGGGAATGCAACGTGGGCCTCCTAGCTGCCAGTTGCCTTCTCTAATCACTGCTTCCCCAGGAGGATTTCTCAAATTGCGCTTGTCAAACATTCAGAATTGGCCTGTAGACTTGGGACTTTCTTGGGAACTACAGAAGCAGCTAAATATTATTGTCAGAAAAAGGTAGTATGAGTACATGTATTGAATCTATTTTCCCCTAATTCAGCTGAAGTTCTGTAGAAAATGTTGTTTTTTGCAGCATCTTCTAGTGTCTAGTTTCCAAGAGTGATTTCTGGCAGATGTGCTGAAGGCTTCTGCAGGAGGAAAACAAAATCTCAGTCTTTAACCAAAAAATACATTTCAAAATGTGGTTTTGAAAGAGGCAGAAGTAAATCAAGAGCATCAGATATTCCCATCAAATCCTTTAAAAATAACTTTAAAATAAATCCTTTTAATAAAATGAATCCTTTAAAAATAAGTTATTGAAATGGCACATGAAGGAGTTACTAGGGGACATAAAGCCAGGTGCAGTGTTTAGAAGGCTATACAAATTCTCTTTAATTTTCTGATCACAGGTTTTTGCTCGACCAGAGCCTACTGGTTTGCTTTTAGTTTTTGGACGTGAATGTATTATGCTTTTACATGCGTACAAAGTAAGGTGTGAACCAGGAGAAATGAGCATTGCATGAAGAACGATACGCAAGCTCTTGCTGATTCTGATTTCTTTGGGGAATTGCATGATTAGTTCTGTATTCAGAGAATAGACGTGTAGGAAGATGGTTAAAATGTTTGGTTTTTTTTTTTT